GAGTGCCTGGCCTGACGCGTGATGTCCCCAGTCGGCCTTCTCAGTGTATGCCCAATCCATCTCCACTTCCTTCCAGAGCATATTTGTTGAGCGATGGGTTCTTGCTTCGTCGGTTCGTTCCCAGAGCTCCTTGTTGCTTATTCTTATTATTCTGGCCATCTGATCTTCAGTAGCGAGCCAGCGTAGGTGGCAGTTGTTGATGAATGTCTGTAGTTTATTGGAAATCACTTACGTAACGCACCAAGTCTCTGAACCATACAGAAGCACTGACTTGACGTTGGTGTTGAAAATCCGGATGTTGTTCCACATGCTGAGTGCAGTGCAGAAGATCTCCACACTGGTTTCAGGCTAATGAACGCTTGTCTTGCTTTTCCGATTCTGACTTTGACATCCTCGTCTGTGGCTGTGCCGCCTGTGGTTGAAACGGTGCTGCCTTGATAGGTGAAAGAGGTAACTTCCTTTAGGTTTTTCCCGTTGATGGTGATTGGAGTTTGTTGTTGTTTTTGGAGTTTTTGGTTGGGTATCTTCATCACTTCTGTCTTCTCTACATTCACTTGAAGTCCCGTCTTCGCTGCCTCGCCTCTTCTGACGACTTGTTAGTTTTCGCCTGTAGATCTTCAAGTTTGTGTGACATCAGGCACAAGTCATCGGCGAAATCCAGATCTTCTAGGCTCTTTTCCGCAGTTCAGTTGGCGTATCCCCCTCTTCTCGCTCCCCATTGTCTGCTGCATGATCCAGTCTAGTCGATCACAACACAATCAGGAATATCATCGGTGATAGTAGGCAACCTTGTTTCACTCCTGTCTTCACTTCACTGCAAAGGCATCACTGAGCTTCCCATTGTGGATTACTTGGCCGGCATGTGGCGTCTTCATATAGTTGTTATGAAACTAGCCATAAATAAATTGAACTGATGGATTTACTCTGTTGAAATGATTCAGTATAAAATTGTTGTATATGCATTGATCAAAGACTTAAAACGCATCATCTTCAATATGTAGAGTACTACTCCATGTTAATAATTTGACCCTTTAAAGGATTTCTTACTAATTTTGCCCGAAATATGTTTACAGATATAGCGCCAAACAGAGATCCCATAGCCACTCCATAAAACAATCAGAAACCTAATGCACATGTTTGACCTCTTTATTCATCATTATTTCAGTTCTACTCATTGATAAGTATCCATTCCAGTTTATTCATACTCAAGGTTGGTATTCATCAAGGGCTGACATCAGTTGGAGAACCATTGGACAGCTGTTTTGCGCTAATAACGGAACTCATGATCCCTCTCGAGGGTCGAACCCAAGTCCTTCAAGTTTCGTGACCAGCACATTACCATTGAATCATTGGGTTGGCATCCAGTGGTCCATATTTCCTACCTCTGTCTATTCGCGATATGAGTCCATGATGAAAATCAAGCTGAAATCAAGAAATAAGTTCCCACAAACCACCAAATTAAAGTATACATGTTTGTTTTGCACACAAACTTGCAATTTTCATTTGTAGACATAAATTAAAAGATCAGATTGACTTTAGTGGATTTCATCATTACAATCTCCTTATTTGCAATTCTGCTTTTTTATATTTCGAGATCATTATGCTCTAGAAAGAAGAAGCTTTGCCTCGAAATCCAGTTTCGTGTTATTCCAATTCTCTCTCCCTCGCTCTCATGTAATTCATTATTGTCTATTTTGTGCCTCGTCGGGATTTTGATTTGGACGTATTCATCACGAAAAGTATTGAAAACCTGGGGACACTTGACAGCTGTTTCTCCCCAGTATGGGACTCACCATTAGTGTATGCATCCACAACCCCACCAGGTGTCGAACTCAGAACCTTCAGGTTACATGATGAGCTTATTAACATTTAGCCACTTGGTCGGAGTTCCATGCTCCATAGTTTCCAACTTCTATCATTTGCCGACATAGCACGACTATCCACCTAGGTATTCAGTTAGCATCCACTTTACTTCCGACTGGTTGACTCCATAAGTCCTGAGATCGATCTCCGGCGTATTTGGATGATGTTGAGGTCAAATTATTACTCAGTACACTGAACACGAACGATCAGATATGGAGTGTTAGATAAGAAACACATGTGCTGGATTCTTTGAGATATACACTGTCATGTAAGCGCTGAATTTCTTGTGTGCAAAAACTACACAGTTTACTAACTCTCAATATGGAATAAGTGATATTTTATCATATTTTGTCTACAAAAACCAGGTGAATAATAATACCAGTACCCTCCAGTATTCACTTCATGCACTGTATGTCATCAGTTAGATCAATTTCGTAATCATTTGAGACTAATAGTCAAATAAAATGTTGAAAATACGATTTTATTGAACTAAAGTTATGTTTACCTCCTCAGATTATAATGTGGCATAGTGGATAATGTCTTGGCGTTTGTAGCGATGGGTACGGGGTTCGAGCCTCAGTGGGAAGAACATCACTGGGGTGCAGGTATATCCAGCTGACGGGTCCCAAATGGGACGAAACGCGCATCATGGATTCTTCTGCTAATCACAACCAACCAATTTATCATAATTAACATTCAGACAATATCGAGGTATCCGCATAGGAGCCTATATGCCAATAGAACTTAAACTCTGGTGATAACTTGGCTGAAGATGGTTGCTTTTTTTGTTTTGACATCAAGATATTTGTGAAGAGTCAACTTGGTAGGGACCCTATCTATTAACCATCTATTTCTCGTGGTAGTTGTTATTGAAGCTGAACCGGACATCATTATCTCGCAAGTTGATATTTTCCCACTGACTGCTGTTATTGAGTTTCATGGGTAGAAAAAATAATGGCTATACTTGTGTATCTGATTATTTCTGTTAGGAATTTTTACTGTATTTGTGTCAAATTTGTTGGCATGCTTGGTTGTCCCCCTTCACGCGCCTCCAATACTGCTGTTCTTTACGTCAGCTAATTCACAGAAATTGTTGAAAGTTTGAAGTTATAGTGGGTGACGTGATCAATATCATAACCAAATGAGCATACTGAATCACAAGACCAAATTCCGTTGGTCATTCGTTTGTCTATCATTGACAGTCATGAAGTGCTGACCGAGGGAAATACTCAACTCTAGTCCCAACTATTATTATTCTCTGAGTATCTATGTTTGATTTGATCCTATGGCCACTGACGTGATATCAGGTAACTCGGAGGTAAGACCAAGTTACACTGTTCACCCCATACAATGCGTAATTATATCGTATGTAGCAAGATGCATAGAAAGTGTACAACGACTTAAATGCGTAGATGACCTAGTCAGAATGCCAATGAATGAGAACAAGATAAATACATGAAGGACATGGTCAATTCATTGGTTGTTGTTATCATTTTTTCTGGCTACAGATGCAACATAGTGTATAAACGCTTCCATCCTAAAAAAAATTTGATATCATAACCCCAGTTACATTAGGGGTTTATGGGACTTGATTGCTTTTATGAATAAAAGCAGTTCTCTTGACGGATTGGAAGCATGAGATGACTATTTCGTCCTAATTTCTGACTCTTCAGCAGTGCATACACTGCGACAGATTGCGTTGAAATCTATCTAACCTGGAGTTTGTCACTGTGTCCAACCAGTTGGATTAATTCTGTTTGTGATATTGGGCCTGTTATGATTCATTTTTATCGGTTAATATTTATCCTGTCTTGGTTGGCTTCAGAGGTCACGATATTTCATTAAAACTTCAAGACAGTCAAGAACCTTTTTAATAATCAGAAAGTTGATGTGTGAATATTTATATTCATGATTTAGCATTTTGATACCATTGATGATTTTTCTATAAATTCTAACAATGTCTAAACTTTTATCATTGTTTCAACTTTTTTGTTACTCTGAGTTTCATCCAGGAGTTGTTAAACAGTATCTACAGGTTTCTACAACTGCCTAAAACTTATCTGACATCTCATCGTAAAAAATACCCCTTGAATATGATTGATACTGCAAAAATTGTAATATGCGCGTTGATTGATCAACGGCGGATCTTTTATTTTTGTTTCATCATGTATTTGTCAGGCAAATGACTTCCAGCTAGTGGATTGCGGGGTCGAACACCGCCTCACCTACCGAGGCATCCTGTATATCTCAAACTTTATTCTTGCGGCATGAATATGGGTTAGTGGGTGAGATCTTAGCTACTTTGATATACTATCCGGTAGCCAGATAATAGAAAAACTGTTCTAACTAAAATAGACATATGTATATGATATGATGGATAATGATTGGATGTGAATGAAAATTTGCAGGATTCGAACCAGTGACTACCTAATTTCCGGCTTGATGGTCTACCAACTGAGCTGTGAGACTCAAGTGTAGGTCATACTTTTATGAACCAAATTTTTATCCCACCTTTAATCATCACCTGGTGTCAATAGTACAAGTCTGCCAAACCACAGCTATCTTAGATACCCAAACTATTACATACAACAGAGGTTGAGCATTCCGACTTGGTATAGCGACGGGAAATTACAGGTATCAATAAACAACAACTGATATCCGTTGCAAAAGGGGATGGCTGTCGTGCCCCACTAGTCTAATGGATGATGCTTCCACATTTGAAGTGATGGGTAGAAACAGTACTACTCAGTGGTCTGCAGGTACATCCAGCTGACGAGTCCCAAACAGGACGAAATCCCTTCCCTAAACTCTACTGCTAACCACCGCCAAGTAGAATACAAACTGATAAACATATGCAGATTACAAATGAAGTTGAAAAGAAAGTAATTTAAGTCCTAATAGTTGCAAATTTGGTGATTAGTCTAGTCCATGGTTATGTATATAGACTGTTCGGTTTCTCAACATGTTAATTCTTGAATACAACTTATGCTTTTCTCTTTGGCTTCATATCAAGGTATTATAGCTGTAAGGATTAATTAAATCTTTGGTCATGCAGTTCCTTATGTTCTGTATACAATAATCAAAATTTTAATTTAGTCAGATATCTAAAATGATTTCTAATCTTGGATTATATTTAGTGATTCAATCATTTATGGGTGATAGAAAAGCACGTCTCAGTCTACCAGATTATGGTTCAATTATTATTCATCGTGCATTGAGTTCAGCAAATTTACGAGATGAACTATATGCTCAATTGTGTAAACAGACAACGAGTAATCCAGATATGTAAGTTTCTTTTTCTTTTCTTGTTTCTACAATGTTTTGCATACTGTTATTGTTGTTACACTTCACTGGAGGAATTCTATAGACAACTGCAATCAGTGATGGACAAGACACCACTCCAGTTGGCGACATCAAAATTCATTCTAATGGATACAGTGACATGAATGCTAAACTGGGAGCAGACAGCACACGAAGAGAACTCATCTTGAGTCGAGAAGCACTTGGTGAAATGAACGAGAATCGAGAACTGTTTGCAGACTTCTGCACATTCAGCGATTTTATGATTGGAGACAGTGTGTACAAACACAAGGATATTCACAAGTTAGCGACATGGATTTCACCATTCACCAGATGGACACACTACACTGAAAATCAGACCGACTTCATCTCAATGTGAAGAAAGTGGAGACGCAGCCTACTTGACACAAGGTCAAGAAGGGGATCAGATGTAGGTTCAGACCATTATCTAGTACAAGAAACCTTCCAAATCAAGTTGAAAGCCTTCAAGGAAGCTGGTGATAGACGACCACATTTATAGTTCAACACCCAGAAACTGAAGGACAAAACTACAAAGGACATCTTCACGTCAGCCATCAGAACAAAATGGCAGACATTGAGCCAACATCCCTGAAGGATCGGGCGTGGAAGAACACCTGCATAGCCGTGTTAGGAAGGAGGAAGAAGAGGCAAGACAAGAAATGGACCTCCACGGACACATGAAAGCTGTAGAAGAGAGGAAGATAGTGAGGTAGACGATGAACCAGTGCAAGGAAGCACAGTGGAAACCTCAGTGACACCTTTGAAGCAAAGACAGGAGTAAGAGAAGGCTGCCTACTATCACCCATGATCTTCCTGATTGTGGTGGACTGGATCATGCTGCAAACAGTGAGGAGCAAGATGGGCATACTCTGGACCGATGAAAAGACCCCAGAAGATTTGGATTTCTTCGACGATTAATGTTGAATGTTGCACAGACTTGAAGATCTACAGGTAAAAACTAACAAGCTGACAGAAGAGGCGAGACAGCTAAAAAGGGACTTCAAGTGAATGTAGAGAAGACGGAGGTGATGAAGATACCCAGTCAACAACAACAAGCACCAATCACCATCAACGGAGAAACCTAAAGGAAGTAGTCTCTTTCACCTACCTAGGCAGGGCAGCATCGTTTCAACTACAGGTGGTACAGACGAGGATGTCAAAACCAGGATTAGAAAAGTAAGACAGGCTTTCACTAATCTGAAATCAGTGTGGAGATCTGCACTCAGTATAAAGAACAAGATCCGGATTTCCAACACGTATTCAGTCAAGTCAGTGCTGTTATATGGTTCAGAAACTTGGCGTGTGACGAGAAGCATTTACAACAAACTACAGACATTCATCAACAGCTGCCGCCTGCGCTCGATACTGAAGATCAGATGGCCAGAATAATAAGAATAAGCAACAAGGAACTCTGGCTGGTTGGTAACGAACCAACCAAGAACCTATCGCTCAACAAATATGCAAAGGAATAAAGTGGGGATGGATTCGACATGCACTGAGAAGGCCGACTGGGGATATCACGCTCCAGGCCCTCGAGTGGAAGCCAGATGGGAAGCGACAAGTTGGGAGTCCGAGGTGAGGGTGACATGGAGGAGATCATGTGAGGAAGAAATAAAAGCTTGTGAGCAGTCGTGGCGCTAGGTTGAAAAGACTTCAGAGAAGAGATCGTAATGGAGGCGTGCTACTGAAGCCCTATGTTCCACTAGGAACCCAAGGGAAAAAACAATAATACTTCACTGGAGAAGTGTACTCCCCACTACTGTAAACTATCAGAAACTTGCCTTTCTCCTTCACAGATTATCATAGTATTTGCTGATAGATGGAAGATAGTCTGCCCTTGAAATTATTTCTAACCTCAGAGACTTTTGAAAGTTACTCCAGGTTCTTATACGATTCAAAAAGCGATCGCTGGGTTAGTAAACCGGGGGTCACTGAGGCCATCAGCCCTTATCGAAACCGGAAGAATTTATACCTGTAAAATTCATTCTGATAATTTAAGATAACTGATGAGTCTATGATGTATGAGAATTGTTGATTGTTTCTGGTTGGTCAAACGCAAGATGATGCTCCAGGACTGGTCTACATTGTCGGATTCGAAAGGAAGAAATCAAAAACTCAAACTTGCCAAACGGCCAGGCGCAACTGGCCTCAAGAAGGTGTCACTTAGGGTCTGCAACCGCACAAATATTTTTCGCTTTCAAATACATAAAGATGAAATAGCCTTCCACGATGTAGGCAGCTGAGAAGTGTCAACCTCCCCCACGCTTCCAGTAATACAAAAGAGCCAATCGAACATAACCTATCCTCCTCAGCTCTATCCCCTCCTTTGTCTTGACCTTCTAACATGAATATTAAGCCTCTTACATCCTCCCTAACCTCTCACTTTGCGACCATTGCCGATGAATAAAGCCATTGGAACCTCACTCCTTGTCTCCTAAGACCTTGCCATCGACTTTATATAGGAGCTTTCAATTTCTGAACTATATGCCAGAACTCTGGAATTTCGAGCTGGGGATCTGTGCTGAATTACTACGGTGCATACATGACCTGAGTGTGGTTATCTACGTGACTGACCTCACTTGGCCATTGCATTGAATCTTCAGAATTCGCCTTACGAGTTTCCGGAGACCAAATAGCTAGCTTTCATGGACTGGCTGATGTAGGCATAGCACTGAGTTGTAGAGCAGAAGGCTCACTTTTCGACTGTCTACCAGTTAACGGCCGTCTGTGTGCTATTTGTCGGGATGGATTTGTAAGAACTATGAAGGGTTGTGAGACTAGGCGATACGTGTTTGTAATCTCTGCCTACGCACTCACTGACCGTAGTTCGGATGATGCATAGGATGAATTCTATGGCCAGCTTTGAATTTTGCTACAGAAAGCAAAACAATCAGATTTGGTCACAACGGTAAGTGATTTCAATGCCCATGTAGGGAAGCTGAGCCAATCGGAAATGCATCTTGGGGGTATTTACGGAATCCAATGTCAACTAACCGACAACAGTGATCGTCTGTTTCTGGTCAGCACCAACTTTAAGCGCTGTTTCACATGGCATCCACCGATATCAAGCCAACGATGGATACAGATCGATCGTATTGCTTTAAGCCATCGTTGGAGGATTTCTGCTCTTTCTGGATTGCCATTTTGGATTCCAGTCACGCATTAGTACGGGCTCATGTATATCTTCACCTTCTTGGTCACAAGAAATGGTAGGCATGGGTGTCCCCCTATGCTTGATTAGTAGATGAGGACATCAAGTATGCATTTAGAGAGGAGTTAGCTTAAGCATTTATCTAAACGTGATGGTAATCCTCATCCTAAGGAAACCTGGCGTGATATTAGTTCTGCTGTAGAAATAACGGTAAAGACAGTCGGTAACCTACACCCGAAGGTTAGTTAACGTCATTGGGTTTCCGCTATGTCATCCGAACTGATTGGTGTGAGAAGACTTATCCCAGCTGGCTCTGACCACGACGAAGAGCGAAAGCATCTTAAACTTCAGTTTACCAACAGTGTTCGCATCGATTGCAAGCAATGGTGGATGACGAAAACGAGAGAGACGGGGAAGGTACCAATGTTGGGTGACACTCGGCAACTATTTAGGCTTATTAAGCATACTGGCAAGAAGACAATAGGTAATGAAACCATCACCAAAAAGGGTAAAACACTGATAACCACCCAGTACAGGCGGTTAGAACGTTGGGCAAAACACTTCAAAGCACAGGTTAACTGGCCCTCAGCAACGTCTCAATTGTCCAATATCCAGTCTGGACCGGAATGGAACGAAGATATCGGTCCTCCAACTCTCCTTGAAGTTGAGAAGGCAGTATCGAACTTGAAACGATGGAAAGCAGCTTGACCTGACAGTTTTCTACCTGAAGTTTTCATGGATGTTGGAAGGAAATTGTTAGTTAAAGTGATGGGGATACTAAGACTGGTCTACTTCATTGATCATCCCAGATACACAGACAGAATCAATTTAGAACCTTGCACACATGTGCATCGATTCAAGTTGCCAAACTTTGCAGCAGTTACGAAGAACTACCGGAAAGAATAAGAGTAATACCAAGGTAAGCAAATTTGTGTCAGATGATAAGCAGTTTGATGATAGAAGTTACTGGAAATATTAAGCCTTTAGATGATGTTAAGGAGTAACCGATTTTGAACCATGCCATCAAGATTCCTCAATCACGGGTTTCTTTCGTCTCAGGGACTCTAGCCAGGTAGTTTAAGTCTCTCCACACAGCTGAGATCGACAGTCGGGAACTACATTGACTGGCGCCACTTCTTGGTTTGGTCACCCTGAACTCTCTTCCAACCTAATTCAACTTCCCTTAGCATAGCACGTCGAGGCAGGCAGTGGGTCGGCATGCGCAGCACATGTCCAAGCCACCTCAGTCGATGAAGGTTCACAATATCATCAATCGGCTTGCCTACCTTGCCTAGTACCCTTCACTTGACTTCAACATTGCTCACACAGTGATTCCACAAGATGCGGGCAATGTTACAAAGACACCTGCGATCAAGAACCTGTAACCACTTCATGTCGTCTACTTTTAACGTCGATTTATTACATCCGTACAGAACGGACTGCAGAGCAATATGCTTGTCCTTTGATAGATAGCCGGATATCTCGCTGACGCCATAGGTGACATAAGTTGGTAAATGCCAAAAATGTCTTCTGTATTCAAGTTGAGATTTTGTCAGTAACCGGCCTGTTCAATCTGATGTAAGTGAAGTGGTTGACACATTCCTCCACTTCACTCCCTATCACTAAACTGGGAGTACTTGCAGCTGATTAGTCCTGGAACATCATCTTACACTAAACAGGTGCGAAACGCATCCTAGTCCATGAGAAGGGGGAGAAGTATTCCCGTGACAACCATAGGCGGTCCGTGGTTATCCGACGCCTAAGTGGTACTCGAGAAAACCACCTAGGTTTTAGACCTGGACGAGCGTGCATCGGTCATATTTTCACCCTACGACAGGTCCTGAAACAACTTACCGGTGGGCGACACTTGCCATATTTCTCGACTTGAAAGTGGCATTTGACTTTGTCGACCGCGAGTTCTTGTGGCAGTCTCTAACTGTGAAGGGAGTACCGAGAAAATATATAATGTCTGACGAAGCTCGCTATTCGTACTCACGCAGCTGTGTCAGGGCTTATGGAGAGTTGTCATCAGAATTTACGATAACTAGTGGTGTCGGCCAGAGATGACCGCGCTCATCGTTCCTGTTTAACTTCATGACAGATAATGGTAATGGACATAACCTTAAGTGCATCTGACTTTATGGGGATTGATCTACTCCCTGGAGACCATCTGAATGATTTGGAATATACAGATGATTTTGTCCCGTTTGTTGAAGATGTCGACAAATTGCAGGGTTTCTGAGTGTTTTGAGCAGAAATCTGAGTATGTGAGGTATGCCCTTCACTGGCAGCTGTCAAATGTAATATGATACTGCACCTCTGCTCTGCAAGGAGCTCCAGTTTATTTGTAAGGAGCGAAGTGGTGAAATACGTCGGCCAATTCCTCTACTTGGGAGTTGTAGCAGTCCGAACAAGCTGGTTGCTGACTGAATCTCCTCTTGGATATAGGACACCCGTCTGGCATTTACTGACTCACGTCATCTGTGGCGCCAACGGGTGAGATATGCGACTATCTATCAAAGGATGAGTACACTGCGTTGCAGTTCGTTGTGTCGTGTTATACGCCTGCAAGACATGGCCGTTGAAAGTAGAAGACGTGAAAAGATTAACGGGTTTTGATCACAGATGTACGTTTGATGAAATCACCATGTAAGCAATGTTGAGGTCAAGCGAAGGGTAGTAGGCAAGAATGGCAATCCAATCAATGAGGTTGTGAACCTTCATTGACTGAGGTTGGCGTGAATATGAGTTGCGTATACCGAGTCACCTCTTACCTTGATGTTCGATGCTAATAGAAGTCGTAGCAAGTTGAAAGAGATCAAGCTGGCCAGATCAAGGCATGACACCAGTCAATGAAGTCACTGGATGTTAATCTAAGCCATGTAGGGAGTTGTATACTCCCTTTTTTGGCATGGTTAAAAATCGATCACAATGGTTCAGATGTATTCATGCTTTAATGTTTTGTAGTGCTTGAGTGTTTTGACTAACCATCATTTTTCAATTGTTTTTCCTTCTATACACCTTTGCCTACTTTGATATCGGTTTTTTTCTAACCTGTATAAAGTGTGGTAACATGAAGCGATGCACTTGTGCACAACGTTGTACATTGATTTTGTGTCTCTCTATCTCTCTAGAAATTAGTTGATTAACGAGTGAGTATTTCATTGGTATTGAAAATATTTTTATTTACTAACGTCATCTTATGACAGAACTTTTTTTTCTCTCAATGTTTCACCTTATAAGCTAGTTTTTATAATTTAAAACTGACCAGACCTAGTACTCACATCCTTGTAGAATATTCACAACGATTATTTGCTTAAATTAATAATACATCTAGTTAATATACAATACATGAAGTTTTGAGTCAACATTTGTTATCGATATGTTCATATCACTGCTAAACACATTCACTTCTACAAGTATATTTACAAATGAAATGATTATTACAGATTGGAATACAACATGGATTGAGATCAGTTGTTGGAACATCGAAAAACTGGGAGCACTGGACAGCTGTTTTGTCCTAGCACAGGATTCCTCAGCAATGCGCACCCATGACACCACTTCGCCAGGGATCGAACCCAAGACCTTTATATTCTGCGGCCAGTATGTTACCATTGAGCCACAAAGCTTCAGACTGAATTAATCTAGTGCTTGAGAGGTGATTCCCGAAGTTCTAATGATAGGTCGAACATGAGGACAGTTACTCATCGATAACTTTGGATGGAAATCGCGCTATATCGTAAAGTGAAAGAAGTTGGAAATATAGACCATTGGGTTCCGACCCTGTGGCTTAATCTTAACGTGCTGACCACGGAACTTGAAGACCCTGGGTTCGACCTCTGATGGGGTGGGTGGGGTCACGAGTTCACACTTCTAAGGAGTCCCATACCAGGACGAAACAGCTGTCCAGTGCTCCCACCTGGATGAAATTACCTCAAAAGATGAGTAGTAAGGAGCTGAATGAACTAACTGCATTAGGTGTTCATATATAGATGAAGTTGTTTTCTTCACTCACCGTTGTTAAACCAAACTACTTATGTCCACATTTGTGTACGTCTACAAATTCACATGCTCTTGTAGAGTAGACTGTATTAGATGCTTTAAGCGGACCCTTCAGAATTGCATTGCTGAACATTACCCGGTCTGAGGTTTACCAAAGGCCAGCGAAGAAAAGAGCTACTTCATCCATATATGAGTACCTGATGGTTGTTCGGCTCCTCAAGATTCATTCTTTAAGAATAGTTTATCGTAGAAAACGCATGTTATTTCTTCATAATAGTTTTTTTCAAAGTCTTTTTCACTGTATTTTATAGATTCACTTTTTTTCTCTCTCTTTTTTCAATTGCATATTGTTTGTGTATTTTTTTTGTGTAGGAAGAGTTTAACAAACGGCTGGGCTCTCTTATGCGTATGCCTTTATTATTTCCCACCAAATAGTAAGTTTCGTGATCACCTGTATGCTTATTTACAAAGTCGATCGGATGCCTCAGTCATTATAAATAACACTACTACAAGTACTACAACAACAACTACTACTACTGTTAACAGTAATCTGATGAGTGGCATAGATGATTACAATAACAGTGCTGCACCATTTGAGTCTAGTCTAAAAACAGCTGCTGCTATTGCTTCTGGACTACACCCATTTCAAATCAATAACAACCATAATAACAATAATTTTGTCGATAAGTCACAGCAATCAAATGATGCGTCAATTAACCTAAAATTGTTCACTTCATATCCTACTACAAATAATCATAATTATCCAATGGGAATTGCATTAGGACCATGGGATCGACCAACTGCTGCTCATTTTGCTCGTGTTGCTCCACGATGGTTTGTTCGATCATTAAATGTTGGTGTTCGTAAAACACCGGTTAGTCCATCAATTGAAGAGATATGTCATGTTAAGGTATGTCCTTACACTCTAATATAATTCAACTTATTTAATTATAAATTTTTATTTAAAGTGCAGAGATAAAAGTGTTTACATGTTTATTTGTTTGTTAAAAACCGCTTGCTTGACCGTAGGAAAACCATTTAATAAGCTATACATTTGTGAATTGGGAGAAACTTAAAGGAAATAGTCTCTTTCACCTACCTAGGCCTCATCGTTTCAACTACAGGCACACAGATGAAGACGTCAAAGCCATGATTGGAAGGACAGCAAGACAGTCCTTCCTGCATCAATCTGAAGTCAGTGTGGAGATCTACTGCACTGCACTGCACTGCACTGCACTGCACTGCACTGCACTGCACTGCACTCAACATAAAGTGTGAAAAAGATCCGGATTTTCAACACTAATGTCAATCAAGTAAGTCAAAGCTTCCATGTGATGGTTGGGAGACTTGGAGCGTTACGAAAAGCATTTCTAACAAACTGCAGACATACGTCAACAGCTGCCGCGTACGCTCGCTCACTCGATACTGAAGATGAGATCAGATGACCAGAAAAATAAGAGTAGGCAAGGAGGGACTCTGGCTGGCTGGCTGGCTGGCTCGCAAGGAACAAACGAAGCAAGAACCCATCACCCAACAAATATGCAGAAGGAAGTGGAGATGAGATGGATTGGTTTGGACGTAGAATGAGAAAACCATTTGGGGAAATCATGCTCCAAATGGGAAACGACTAGTTGGGCGTCCAAGGTTAGGGTGACATGGAGGAGATGGTGTGAGATAGAAATGAAAGCTTGTGGGCAGTGGTGGAGGCAGGTTGAAAAGATTAGAGAGAAGAGAGTGAAATAGTGACGTGCAACTGAAGCCGTATGTCCCACTAGGAATCCAAGGAACAAATAATAATACATTCATGAATATACGTTTCAGTGGCAACAACATTTCAGGGTTATTTGCGGTTGGGGTTTGAAAGGTAGAGTGAAAAGAAGTTACGTAATGCAAGTGAGGGTTTACAGTGGGATAATAAATAAGGAATTGAGAGAAGAAAGGGTATAATTGCATAATACGGATCACAGAATGAAAAAATCTTCACACTCAAATTGCTGCTTAGACTTCACATCGTTCCACCCTTTGTCAGTTAAAGTTGGCTTAGTTAAGTGTCTAAGTAATACGGTCAGAAAACTTACTAGTAAAACAGAAAAACTAAGACAAGAAAGTAGATAAATTGAAGACACCTTACTCATCAACAATTGTCCTTCCAAAGTAATTGATCAGCTCCTTAGTAATCGTAAGAAAAGTATGAGTAACCCAGGTGTTAATAGTAGTAGTGTAATGGCAACACTGTGAAGAGAGAATTCAAAACCTCTACAGTATTACTATACAAAGGAGGCACCTCGGAAACACTACTTGGATTGTGAAAAAGGCTGTGTGGGATTAGAGTGGCATTGAAACGTATAAATTCACTTATAAATAAGCTTTGTAGGTTAAAAGAATGTATTGACACAATTAGGGAGAATAATTTAGTTTACCAAATCCCTTGTAAAGGTTTCCAGATGAAGTAGGTGGATGAAAGTAGGTGATCAGGGTGAATTAGGATATTTGAGCTGAGCACAAAAAGAGTAGTTATGTGAAAATTGGTAGATCATAGTGAGGTAGAGAATTTGTAAAGTAGCTCGTTCATAGGTATTTATGCAATTGAACACAAGCAGACAATTGGATGGGAGAGTGTGAAAATCCTTAAAAGTAATGTAGTAGGATGGAGGGAGATATAGGTTGATAACTGAATCTTTGTTTATCCAATCAACTATATAAACCAGGTCTCAAAGTTGTGGAGTTATCTAGATGTGACTGTGGACAATAAAACGTATCTGAAACGTAATCTAGTAAATGATACTGTTCCTTTACTGTTTGGTAACACCTAACAAATCAACTAAAGTGGAGTCATATTCTACCACAATGCACAAGTTGTACTCTTATACACAAGTAATACAGAGAGAGAGAGAGAGAGAATATTCAAAGCTTTATGATCGCCGTGGCAAATGTATTTCAGCTCAATAACAGAGCATCTTGTAAACTTATTCCTGTCAGCTTCTTATGAGAAGTCATATAAAAATCCTCTATAACGTTTGATTAAACTACTCAAAGGGAGTAAAATCAAGCCTTCTCGGGTATAACTGACTTACTAAGCATTCACAAATTGACATCAGCGCTGCGTTCAAAAACGGTACATTCAATCATTGTCTGTACCACAGTCATCATAATGCCCTTAACTGTTCTACATTAATCCTGTATTACGTGATTATACTTTTAATCCTCATAATTCTTTGTGTTTTTTTTCTAACCTAAACCCTCATCTGTATTGCGCAACTTCCTTTCGTTATTGAATATATTTTGACCCTTAGTTGAAAGTATTTCTGGAATTTTCTACCCACTATATATATATATATATATATATATATATATACATGAGATCTTCTGCACTCAGCATGTGGAACAACATCCGGATTTTCAACACCAACGCCAAGTCAGTGTTTCTATATGGTTCAGAGACTTGGCGCGTTACGAAAGGGATTTCCAATAAACTACAGACATTCATCAACAACTGCTTACGCTGGCTCGCTACTGAAGATCAGATGGCCAGAATAATAAGAATAAGCAACAAGGAGCTCTGGGAACGAACCAACCAAGAACCTACCACCCAACAAATATGCAGGAAGAAATGGAGGTGGATTGGGCATACACTGAGAAAGCCGACTGGGGACATCACGCGTCAGGCCAGTTGCTCGAGTCGAATCCCCATGGGAAGCGATGAGTTGGGCGTTTGAGGCGAGGGTGATATGGAGGAGATCGTGCGAGGAGGAAATGAGAGCTTCTGGGCTGTCTTGGAGCCAGGTTGAAAAGATTTCGGTGAACAGAGTTCACTGGAGACTTGCTACTGAAGCCCTATGTCCCATTAGGAATCCAAGGGACTAATAATATATATATATATATATATATATATATATATATATATATTTCCAAGAATGTATGGGTTAGTAGATGATGACTTCGTCGAAGAGAAAAGTTCTCTGTAATTGCTTTTTTTTCGAAAACCGTTTATTGTTATTTCCACTATTGATCTGTAATGTTTCACGCTTATTGTTTAGTGAATGGCATAACTGTTCCACGTATCCATATAATTTATAATGTTGTTGTATTGATCATGTGATGAAGATAACTGTTCCTTGTTCATGCATACTATTTTTTACTCATCTGATTATCATGTTACCTGAATTGAAATACTACTTTCCGGTAATAGTAGAATAGGTTTACACAGAAACAATTCAACAATTATTATATGTCTCTATGGTTTAATTTATTGATATATGCATGTATGTAGACTGAGTCTGTAAATATTTTGATGGGGAATACTGTCAACTGACGTAGTATTTGGCTTTCAGTCAAGTGGGGTAGTTGGTTAAAATCTTTCTGTATGCATGGATGCCTTAAATAGTCAGGTCTTATCAGTAATATTCTGATAACATAGATGTACTGCATAATTAACTATGAATAATTGATCATTTAACTTATTATATAATGAGATATGTGTTAATCAATAATTACAAAGTTTATCTGCTGAATTAGAAATGAAAATATCCTCATTTAATACATTACAGTGCTGATTAATGATGATATACTTCGAGATGAATATCCCAAAGTTCTAATAAGAAGCTATAACCGGTGAGGTCAACCAGTTGTAAGTAAAGCGAATGCCACCTTAAGACCTTTGCTGATAGTCAGTTGATGTATGCAGGTTTCATGATACCTACAACGTAACTGTGTGGAGTTATGGTTTATTTGTTTAGGGAATTAACTTTCAATCCGTGCGTCATGGGTTCGAGCACAAAAGTTTGGGTTACTGGGATGTATCATTAGTCTTCACATAAAAAGGGTTTTGCTCACTACCTACTGTATGAACGTCTCAAATCCTTGAGTTCATCTTCAAAGCCTAGTTCTTGATGGTGTTTCGAGCATTATATTTAGAAAATGTACAGATATTCTATGTCATCGTCTTACAGATATCTTAAGTGAATCTTTTTTTTTTCAAAATACAATACTTGCTGCTTGGAAGGAGAATAAAGTTGTATCTGTGCTCAGGTCATCTTCTAGATCAGATGTTAAGTTTCGACCTATCGCTTTAACCATCTCCTTTTACAAGGCAATGAGGAAATTACTTCTATTTATGCTTGAACCTTCATTGAAGGCTTTCAGAGATCTGAAACAATTTGCTTACAAACACAAGAGAAGTACTTTAGATGTTTCTAGTCTAGACAAAGGTGCTAAATATGTTTGACTCTGTTTCTAGACCACTAGTGTTAAATAAGCTTACCATATCTCATACTGAGCTATGGATTACAAAGTGGAAAGGAAACAGTATACTATTATTGTTTTTTTGATACTTGTAATTCTCCATTGTGATACTGTGGATCTAATTAATCGATCTCTGTGGGTATATGGGCTTCTATGCAGACCCTTCGATGTTATTGCTTCAGTGTTTATTGGTATAATTTACTTGGTTGTGGCCAAGACGCGCGTTTCGTCCTATTTGGGACTCGTCAGCTGGATGTACATTCACCCCAATGAATGATGTTGTTCCCAATGAGACTGAAACCTCGTACCCATCGCTTCAAATGCCAAAGCGTTATCCATGTATATCATCCATGCATAGGAAGCTGTATACCAACAGCCATCGAGCAATTTGATCCAGTATCTCAACGGAGAATTAAAAGAATATCAACAAATAATAATAAGTAATATACACGTTGTACAAAAGTGGCTTTCGTACCTCACTAACTCAGTGGACATTATTACTCACTAGGGTGTAGGCACCTCCACCTGATGACTACCAAATAGGATGAAACATGCGTCTTGAATTCTACTGCTAGCCACAACCAAGTCAGTTAGAAATAGTGTACTGTCTGTAAAGGCGAGAACCTCATTTCATTGCCTACTGAGGCTGTACACTTGTACAACTAAATACAAGAATTTGATTGTGCTTTAACTAGCACGCACCGTATTTGAGAAGAAAATTGTGCCAAAAATTATATGAAATAAAATGATTATGATTATTATTTATGAGTATGGACAAAGTTGTTGACTTGCTCTTGATTGGAACTACTTAAGGCGTTCAAACCTCAATAGATGGGGTTGGAGTATAACTCATGACCCATTTATTGGAAGTCAGCTATGTAAATCAATGAACCCCATCAACACTTGAAAACTACAAGGATATGATAGTTAAAGTTGCTAAGATCTCTATCTATGCTGGATTCGAAACTGTAACCCACTGAGACTTAAATAATAACAGTTATATCTTATAGCTAATTGTAATCTTAAACAGAGTAGAATTCAATAATTTATTTTTGGTTTGAAGGCTTTTTAGAGATTTATTGATTGATTTCAGGTTGATATTCATCAGACTAGACAGCAAAACCTGAAGATCCTGAGTTCGATCCCCCTCGGGGTCATGGATGCGCTCTGTTGGTGAGCCCTATACCAGGATGAAATAGTTTTGTAGTGCCTCCAGGTTTCCAATGGGTCTCCAGCTGATGTCATTCCATGATGAACACCAAACTGATAACTTTCTTCTAACTGACTACTGTCATATGTGTGTGTGTGTAGAGAGAGACAAACACTAATTTATTCCACTTCATGTTTGATTTATTGATAGGAAAAGGCATGTATTTATTGTCAGTCCCCCGCTGAGAACTTTGGTAAGACATCGTTAAATAGATATAGGCAGAGAGAGAGAGAGAAAGAAAGAGAGAGAGAGAGAGAGAGGGAGTATCTTATACACACATGTGCATCTATTTTGTGTCTTGATCAACAATAAAGAGGTCAGACAAAAAACTTTTTTGTTGATACATAAGTTTATTATACAAAAAGAAGGGGAAATTGTTTGTGAAAATTAAAATTTATTGCCGTAATATACAACAATCTAACTGACTTAGTGTTATAACTTGTGTTATACCGTCTTCGATTGGACCGAATTGATTGGTCTCTATTGGCATATGGGCTTCTGCACGGATGCCTCTATATTGGCTGTGTTCTTAATTATTTAATAATGATGGATAGTGACTAGCAATGGAATCTAAGGTGCCCATTTCGTTCTATTTGGGACTTGTCAGCTGGATGTAACTGCCTCTTAGTGAGTGATGTTGTTCCTACCAGAATTCGAACTTGGGACCGATTGCTCCAAACGCTAGAGCGTTATCGGTCTTTATTGGCATATGGGCAAACAGGAAGAGAAATGCGCATCCTGGATCTTACTGCTAGCCACTATCCATCATTAAAATTTAACAGACCGTTCTTTTCGCCGGTTAGATTGATTTAGTAACTTAATTTACGTTGTAGTGACACGTGTGTGTGTGTGTGTATGTGTGTGACTAACATGAACTGGTTAGCTAGATCCAGCTTTTCAAAAGTCTTGTGATGCAAGTTATTTTGGATCAATGACTCATACCTGACTGGTTGAAGATTGGCAGATCTGGTTGTGGATGTTCTGTAGAAAGGTGTAACTTACTGACAACGTGAATATCTAATAAAAATGTGGGCTGTTGAACAAACAACCTTCACTTTCAGCCTTCATAGTTGTTCGGTTCCTGGAGAACAGAAAAAAGCACTACAAAGTCAACTTTATGGAAATGTAGTGGTACTTATAATATACAGCTTTTTTTTTTGCATTCCTACCTCACCGACTTATCCATCTAGGTATTTACAAATCAAGTCATGTGATTGTTTGAAAACTTCCAATAAAGCTTGATTGCTTCTGAGTATATTCAGTGGTTTTTTGTTTTTTCTTTGTTTGGGGATCTAGACGAAAGGTATTTCGCATCCTAACAACCCCGGGTTCAGTTAGACTAAGCTCCATCTCTTGCTATCTATTTAGGGGAATTGTATTAGGAACCCTTACACAGAGTACATAGTTTTAGTTTCATAACTATTTCGCTAGTTTTACTGCTCTACTTGTAATCGTATTGTACAATAAAGTGACTGTGTAGCGGGATGCTACTGATAAGAATGGATATAAGTAGTATATGTTTGGAGGTCGGCAGAAATCATAGGCAATTACCAATGATAGGTTAAGATTCTGCCCAGAGGAACACAAAAAACATTCTTAGCGTATTAAGAGTAAGTCGAGATAGAAGCAGAAGAGGAAATTGAGCATATTATACAAATGACTATTTTAATGGAAAGTGTATTATTACTGCTGTAGAAGATGTCATGATAAATATTTCTTCCTGCGTCTCAGTCGTCTCGTTTCTTACAAGTGAATCGTTTTATACAATGATATCATAGACTATGTCTGACTTTTCTTCCATGATTTCTGAGTCCTTCAGGTTGCTTAAGACGCTTTAGATTCTTTTCATAGAGTTTTGAGGTATTTGTATTCCATGTGTTTACAGCCTCTGAAAAATTTCCTATATCTTGGTATCAAAGTTGGTAAAGTTATCTGAGATAATAAACAGTTTGATGTTAAGATCTAACTCAAATATTCAAGCTTTAGAAGATTTCAAAGAGTGGATACATCTTCACCATTATGACCGATTTTCAACCATATCATCAAGAGTTTTCAACCACTCATTCTTGTCGTCTCGGATACTTCATTCAGCTCATATCAAGACTCAAAGACTTCATGTACTGGTTTTACGTCTTCATTTGGCCACCCTAGGCTTTCTTCCAAAGTAATCCAACTTTCCCTAGCATAACATATCGATGTAGGTTGTGGTATGCATAACTCATGTATAAGCGGTAAATTATGTGAGATTCAACAGATTAATTAAGCAAGAAAAATCACCCCCCACCCCCCATTATAAAGCCAAGATTGAAGATCAGCTCAGAGTAATCATAGATAACGCCTTAGCTAAATAGCATAGGTCAACAAGAAATAGTTAGAAATCAATATAATGACCAAAGGTCAGCAATTCTAATTGTACAATAGTAAGCTAATCAACGCGGACGAAATCAATGAAATATCCAGATACTATTCACGTACACATGAAAAATATTATTGAATTTACTTCCTTATCAATTATCATTACTGAAAATGATGACTGAACGAATGTCGAAAGCTTTGTCCAAAATAATTCAAGCTTGTTAACCAAAAATACCTTCTATAACATACAAGATTTTAAGTTTGTGGGGATTTACAGATATTTCAAGTTGGTATTCATCATAAACTGACATCAATTGGAGAAAGATTAGAAACACGGGAGCGCAGAACTGCAACTGTTTCGTCGTAGTATGAGACCCCTCAGCAGTGGGCACCCATGACCTTCAGGTTCTGTGACCACCACGTTATCATTCAGCCACTCGATCGGAATCCAATGGTCCATATTTCTAACTTCTGTCAGTTCACGGCCTATCACAACCATCACCCAATGTCATGGTTGAGTATTTGTCCTCACGGTCACTAGGTGTGCCCCACCGGTTACGACTTGTCATTGGAACTTCGGGAATCACCTCTCGAAGCTAGTCACCAATGAGCAATAGTTCAATTGAATTTGGGGGGTTTATAGAGGGATTTATTGATTTCAAGTTGCCATTCATCATAGACTGGTATTAGTTCGAGGAACATCGGAAACCATGATCATGGGTGCGCACTGCTGAGGAGTCCTATACAAAGGGGACAAAACAGCTGTTCAGTGCTCTCAGGTTCCCAATTTCTCTTCAACTGATGTCAGTCCGTGATGAATACCAACTTGAAATACATAAGTTTACCGTAAGGTCTACTCAGAACGTAATAAAAATTTCTGTATGTATCTATATGTTAAGCTGTAGGGTGCATGTAGTACTTTGATGGTTATGTAATATTACCAGGGTACAAGGAAGTAGTTGAATACCATGGCTATTGACTATTTAACTTCATCCCATTTTTTTTTTCTTGGTTTAATTCAATACTTATTCTACTACAATCTCTCATTTTTATTCATTTGTATACAAGGATTTTTTATTAAAACCATGTATATTCGGTAGTTCATTGAATGAAATGATGCAATTACAAGCCTATCGATTTCCTCATCTACGTTTACCATGGATACAAATATTTTTAACTGAAGAAATTTTACATTTGAATGGAGCACAAACTGAAGGAATTTTTCGGTAAGTCCTATCTATAATACACTTCATTTGAAAGAAAAACACTGAAAAATCTATTCTAATTAAATTTTATTATGATTATTATTTGAAGGGGGACTGTTCTATGAGAGATGCTACTAACACAATGAAACATTTGAACTGGATACGAATGGGAACTATTCCCTCTCATACCTGATACTTCAATGAACCACAAAAATTAAGGGATAAAGACCAATCTGTGACTTTGAAGAAGTCAATTTTATTTGACAAAAAATATATCATCGTTATACAATTTTCTGCGATAAGTCACTAGATTAGAAGTTGGATAAGGTTTTTCCTGCTCTGTGATGAATGATTCAGGTAGCTTTCTAATGAATGCTAACAAGCACGAAACAAAAGTCTAGGACTTCCTATCGATCACTTCTAATCAACTGACACCTATTAATGTTCACTGCGATGATTGACCATCTTCTAGCTTAGTGGTTACAATGAAAAATAATCGGTAAAATTCCGTCAATACTCATAACTAGACAATATGAAATTGGTTGCTGACCAGTAGTGATCAATCAATGTAGACTGTAGTTGACTTAAGATCTCGAAGTCCAGTAGGTGGTGGATAGTCGGGTCAATAATTTGGAGTGTTGTTGACCCCCTAATCTTACCTTGAACTAAGTTTCTATTTCACCTTCAATTGTTATGCCATACCAATATTACCAGTCTTCTAAATCAAAGGGTATACAATCATTTGTTTATCGTACAGCAATTCATAGTGTCTGTTTTATTCAAGTTTCATTTTAGTACGTTCTATGTAACCAGGCGTTCTGAATCAGCCAACTCTTTAGTACAACAAGAAAAAAAAATCATAGAAATCTTTGCAAGGGAACAAATTGTTTCATCATCAAAAGTACTACTGAAGAAGGTGTTCCGTAGATTTAGGTCGAATCATCTATGCTTCTTTTAATATAGTCTTTAAAAAGTTTATTGCCTTATTTCCATTCTCTAGGCGTCTTCTAGATGTGTTGAGTAGAAATCTGGGTATGTTTGACATGCGTTTCACTGTCATCTGTCTGCCGCAAGTACTCCCAGCTTAATGATAGACAGTAAAGTGGTGTAATGTGTCGACCAATTCAATTGCTTGGGGAGTTGCATCAACCTGTAATCTGACGAAATCTCAGTTCGCATGCAGAAGCCCTATGTAGTACTTTTCAAGCTGTCATCTCTGACGTCTACTGGCAAGATATTCGGCTACTGCTTAAAGGACTGCATTGTAGTTCATTTCATCCTATTATAGAGCTGTGAAACATGGTCGTTAACAGTAGGAGATATGAAGCGGTTACAGGTTGTTGACCACAGGTGTCTTCGTAGTATTGACCGCGTTTGGTGGAATCATTATGTAAGCAATGTTGAGGTCAGATGAAGGTTATTAGACAAGATTGCTGAGGTTGTGGACCTTAGTTGACCAAGATAGCTTGAACATATACTTCACATGCTGATGCACTGCCTACCCTGATGTGCTATCCTGGGAGAAGTTGGATTAGGTTGGAAGTAGGCTCAGGATAGTCAGATCAGGATTTGTCATCAGTCCATCGAGTCTCTGACTGTTGATTTGAACCATATAAAGAGGTGTACACTATCTGTTTGGGGTCCCCAAGATAATAGGAATCAGTGATTGAGGACTCTTGGTGGCATGGCTGAAAATCAGTCACAATAACGTAGATGTATTCATTCTTTGATATACTACTCTTCAAAGCTTGAATACTTTCAGTAACCTTCATTTTAAAATCTCTTCTTTCGTTTTTCACCTTTGTTTACTTTAATATTAATCTTTTCCTATTCACTTATTCACTACATGTTAGTGTGAAGTGTTGGAACTTGAACCGATACACCTTTATTCGAAGTTATACGTTGACTTCATCTGCTTGACAATCAAACGTACAAGTTATATCGATCTATCCAAGTAACTTCAACATATGAATGTGGATAGGCCTGGTCAAATAAAAACATGTAAGATGATATCACAATAAATACATACATGTGGTGCTATCCACACCTCGGCGTCTATTCGATTAATTTATCAGCGTAATCAGACTTAGTTTATGGTAAGGTCAGAACATTCCTTTTGTCTAGACATACTGGATTCTCGTCATGGTGCTTATTCTTTATCTCATAATCCCTGTCTATCTTTCATTCTATCTATCTATTTATCTCGTCTTCTTCAGTTTGTAACTCGACTAATCTTGATGTTTATTGGCTATAATTGATGTGAGACAATATATATATCCAGGACCTGCGATACACACACTCGCACGCGAGCATACGCATATACCCTCTTGTTTTCTCCTCTTTTTTTTTCTCCCCTCGCTCCACACCCACATCCTGGCGAAATCTGTTGAATTACATAAATCACAAATCTAACCGATTTTAACAAGTTTTCATGTAAAGAAGTAATCTTCAGAGGTTCTGTATGATTCATCAACTTGTCTTTATGTTTTATCGATAATTTTGTTGAATTTTTCGCACACAAACACATACGTGCTAGTATATGAAATAATATGCAAGGACGACGAGTATACTGCATTGTAATTCTTTCTGTCCTATAATACGGCTATGAGGTATGTTTGTTGAATGTAGAAGATGTGAAAGGATTACTGGTTTTTGATCATAAGTGATTCTCGTATGGTGCGATCATTGTATTGAGGTTAGGCGAAGAGTACTCATCGACGAAGGCAGATTAATCGATGAATTTATGAAGCTTGACCGACCAGTCTGAATTGGATATATATTGCATATATGCAATGACAGAGAAAGTTGAATTAGGTTGGAAGAAATCTCTGATTGTTTATGTTGGGAAATATAGACTATCTGGCTATGGTTTGAGATGATAGAAATCAGTAGTTCAGGACTCCTGATGTTAGAATCAATTGTTACTGAGATTCATTTTAAAATAATTGACCATCTAAACGATTATACGGCTTGTGTAATGCTATGAGGTGATAGTTTAATCAGACAATAACAAGGTGTATATGAGGGCTGGATGAAATATGCACAGAGGATACCTTAGAAGACGAAAGAGGAACACTGACTGATATTGTGTTGAAAAATAACTATCCATCAACATTTATCATTATTTATTATTATTATTAGTCCCTTGGGTTCCTAATGGAACATAGAGCTTCACTAGCACGTCTCCAGTGACCTCTGTTCTCTGAGATCTTTTGAACCTGGTTCCACGACAGCCCAGAAACTCTCATTTCCTCCTCACACGATCTCCTCCATGTCACCCTCGGACGTCCAACTCGTCGCTTCCCATGGGGATTCCACTGGAGTGCCTGGCCTGACGCGTGATGTCCCCAGTCGGCCTTCTCAGTGTATGGCCAATCCATCTCCACTTCCTTCTCTTGCTCTGCATTATTTGTAGGTGCATAGCCTTGTATGATTGTAACCTTCCTTCCTTTTGAGTTGAATCTTGCTGTCATGATCCTGATGCTGGAGGAGATTGGTTCCCACTGCATGAGAGCCTTCGATGCTCTTGGGGACATCATGATAGCCACTCCATAACTCAGTGTGCTCGTGGTTGTCGTCTGGGTAACAATACCGGAGTAGATTATTGATTCTCCAATTGGCGGTTTGGAGAGTCCACTCCCATTCCATCTGCTTTCGCAAATTCCAAGCACTTCGATGTGATACCTTCTCATCTCTTTTGCAATCTGGGCTGCCTTGCTGGGTTCAAACATGGTGCGGAAATTCCATGTCCCCACGTTTACTTTCGCTTTCATCGAGGGAGAGAAGACACATCGGCTAATTGGCTTCCAGAAGGCTTTCACCAACTGGCGTCATTTTGCCTCTCGGATTCCAGCGAGGAATAAGTTTGTTTTTATTTTTTATGTATCGTTTGTGCTTTGAAGTTTCTTTAGCGGTTAGATTTGTTTTCCGGGGTAGGGTTGCTAGCCGTATGCCCAACCTTCCCTCTTTACTAGTGAACTAGTTAACCAGGCGAGGTTATCAACATTTATCAGGCAGAAGAAAATTATCAGAGCACGAAAACTAGACCTCCAGTCTGTCCCAAAGAAGGATGTCTTCATCAGCCTTCCATACAATCCTTAAGTAGAGACTTAACGCTGCTGTTAGAAGGACTTACTATTCAGCCAGGGTTCGAGTAATTGAAACCACGAAGCCCGTATATTCCCCCAAACCCCCAAAGCATGTGGACGACAATGTCACATCTCATTGTATCTACCAATTCAAATGTACGTGTGGTGACGTATACATAGGGAGCACTAATAGATCTATGCAAGTAAGGGCCTCGGAACATATTCCAAAGTGGCTTTAGAAGCTAATTAAATCCTCTGAATCCATAAGTGTTGGTAGCAGACGTCCAAGTTCTTCAATCGCTAAACATATCGTTAAGACACGCCACAGGATTGATATGGCCACTTCTTTTACACCTATTTACATAACATGTTGGGGAGGGATCCTTAAATTTGTTGAAGCCTTAGCTATTAGAAAGTTGAAACCACCTTTTGCGTGTGTTCATAAACAATTTGTTGTCACATTAAATCTTCCTTGGTAAATTCAACTATTGAAAACCAAGTTCGATGTACTATTATTTTTCGTTCTATTGATTTTCATTGTTATTCGGCCTTTAATTCAGCCTTCCTACCTGACCTCTTTTTATTTTCTCACCCCTTATCTTCATGAGTTTTTATATAAATACCTATGACAAGTACGTATGTGATCAGATAGTTTGAAATGTGTTGCGCAAATACCCTACACGATTCAGACAATTTACATATTATTGTTTTGTCGAAATAAACTAAGAAAGATAATTTGAAGAATAATGAATGGCTTGATACAATACTACTCATGTTGGGGGAGAGAATAGGTTAAGAGAATCATTTCGGATTATTGGAATGAAGGAGGTATCTACGGAGTGGAGTTAGATTACCTGAGGTAGGATGCTAAGGGATTTGTGCATCCCGAATCAGGCGACGGTATTCGTAGCGGCAACACTTGCTTCTTATGAA